CCCCAAAACCCCAAAACCCCAAAACCCCAAAACCCCGAGAGGTAATCCAATTGTTGAACTCTATATCCCTAAATCAAATTTTAGCTTCTCGTCTTGGTCCGTGTAAGGATCTATAAGAATGATGAGAAGTTATGACAAGTACCCTTTATCAATAATAATAGCTTACATGTTTTACCCATGAGGTTGATCTTCTGTTGATGCAATTTGAGATCTCAACTTTTGGTTACATACTTTTCCCCGTCAAGAGCAATTTTAGATGGAGTTTCAAATTGTAATTTAATCTGATCCACTGGCTTTAAAATAAGGCCTGGAATATAGAGTTGCTTTCCGTAGCCTAAAATCCATTTGAAAAGGAACTCTAGACATCTAAACTTGTTAGTTGGATCAAAAATAAAGAGTATCATCTTTTCTTCATTGTAGCGGATAAATGGAAGTACTGGGGAACTGATTTGAGTACATCTTCCTTCATGTTGCATTGCGATCATTGAAAAGATCTCATTTTTAGGATGGGTTATCCAACCATCATCTAAAATGATATCTTACTCTTACCTTTATTTTCTTCATTTTTCTCTGCGTCTTTATGGATCTTATATGAAAGAGATATAGGATATGTTGGAGTGCTAAAACTTGAAAATAAGTCTTTAAGTCCTTTGACAAAATATCTGTATCTACCATATTCTTCTCTTCCAGAGTCTTGAACTGACGTCTCAATATGACCATACATAAATCCTCAGACTCCATAAATCTTCTTATCATTATCAAGAGTGACTTCTATCATATCTGCTTGAATAGTATCTCCTTTAAGCACCCTACTTGTGGAAAGATATTCATTTGTTCAGCCCAGATTTCAGCTCACAGTGTTGGCTGAGCCTCCTGGAAACAATCCGAAAGGCTTTTTCCATATTAACTGCTTCTGAGGATGATCCTCACAAGAATTTATAAGCTGAAAAAGAGTCCCATCACCTCCAATGACTACAAAATCTGTGTAAGGAGTCTTCTCAAGGTCAAGTTCACTCATCATCTGTTGGACATAAGTTGGGCCGGTTGTTTTGTAAACATCATATCTTATTCCTGATCAGTCTAGCATCGGTTTCAGCACATTTTCAAAATATCCCATAGACTTATTTATGCCCAGAAATGGGATTTATGATAATCCCCAAATGTCTTGGCTTTCCTTCTCTCTGAGTCGTGTTAATAGCATTCAAGATAGAAAATGCTTGCTGATATTCTTCCTGAGTCGTGAACTGAAATGTTTGGTTTTCAATACTATTGTTCTTCTTACCCTATTTTATTAGAAAACACAGATTGGAAGTTACCAAATATTTGAAACTTAGCGAGTTATTTTCTAAGTCTGAATGGTGATCTAGAGTTAAGAAGGAGTCATATTTGAATTTATCCTTGACCTTAACTTCATATTCTCCTTTAGTTTCATCTATTTTGTATCCTTTAGGCAAAGTGAAAATACAATCTTTAGACTTGTAGTACAATTCAACTTCTTCATTATCTGATTTGACAGATCCAAGATATGATTTTCTCAGTACAGCTGATGATATCTTAACTGAATGGTTTGACCCCATAAATAAATGGCTAAAATAATAGTTTCAAAATAATCATAATAAATAGGGGTTTTGGGGTTTTGGGGTTTTGGGGTTTTGGGGTTTTGGGGGTTTATAGAGAGGGATTTTTGAGGG